TGATTGCTCCCAGCTGTAGTTTGTGCTCTCCTTCAAATCTGTGCTCTGTGCTCCCTCTGCTGGCTCTGCATTGCAGTTAGATTTCCAAACAACTGCACTGTAACTGACACCTACATTGGGTGGCTCCCAGCACGGTTTGCCACTTGTCCTCCATTTGACTACACTTCCCAGTAAAGAGACATCAACCCATCTGTATTAACAACAACAGCAAAACAGAAAAGGAATGATTAAATAAATTATTGTATTTCATTCCACGAAATGCAGAGAAAACAACTGTTTTCTCTCCTCCGATACACCAGAGATGCCATCATTCCCAGTAACAGCGGAGGCTTGCCACTCAAGAGACCCTCAAATGTGGGGATGAGCAGTAATGATGAGGTCAAGACCTTGGTGGGGTGAAGTGCTGAACACAAAGGATTTCAAAAAGCCCCATCTGAGATTCTGATATGCCTTCCTCCACCACTCCATGCATCCTTCAGCACCTCCCTCAAAGGGCCTAGAAGCCAGAGATCTGAGAAAACACTGCCATTTTAAAGTGCCCCGTGGCTGTATTTCATGGATTAGTTACCTAAATGCCAGTTTATTTGCCTCTTGAATTCCTCATACTCAGAAGAACCAACTCAGCCCTCTTTCCTGCCATTGTGTGATATGGTAGGGGTAACACAGGGTTATCCTTGGCCGCTGTTCAGAGAAAACTTACAAGCTAGAGACTGGCATAGAACACATTTTGCAAAAGAATTCTGAAATTTTCTGGAAATGTGTTCAAAGTGATGACTCACGTGTTCACTGAATGTATAGAGAGGTGTTTCACATAGGCCAGGGCATGCTTTCTTAAATATGCGGACATCTCACTGGGTAGATGTGGTTACATGACAACATGAAATCACACAGCAACCATCCATCAGGAATACCTACTGTAGCCAGTCAAAATATGCTTTATACACTGAAATTTAGTGATGCTGAGGTTAAGCAACTAAAAAGTGGCAATGAGTGTTCAAGTCCACATCTGCCTGATTCCAAAGTCCTTTCAGCATCTCAACATTGCACTACCCTGAAGCATCACCCAGTCTCCACCTAGCATGTTCCCCAAGGTTCTCCTCCACACGATGCTAAGCCCAATAGAGCAGATGAATATGACTGTCAACAGCAGTATACCAGGTCATGTGCACACTGAGCAAAGTCCTGCGTGCTCAATGGGAAGCCCGCAGCCTCACAGAAATTACAAGAAAATAGAGCAAGGGCTATATCCAAAATAAATTCGATACCACCAACAGAATGCCAAAAACAGCCAGTGTGAAAACGTAATGGGAACAAATTCCTGTTTGAAAGCACAATGAAGAACAAATTTCACTGACAAGAATAACCAAAATACCCCAGAATAAACATAACAATTTGTCAAGCTTTTATAGAAAGACAATAGGAAGTGACTGGGCATGGGGGTGCACAACTGTAATCCCAGCACTCGGAGGCTGAAGCAGGAGACTGCTACAAGTTTGAGACCAGCCTGCACTACAAAGTGAATTCACTCAAGGCCAGCATGAACTGCAGAGTGAAACTCTGTCTCAAAAAGATCAAAAAAAAAAGGAAGACAATATGAAGAATACTTTACTTAACCTATGCTCCTAGGTGGGAAAACTCAATATTTGTATGTTTTCTCTCCAATTTATTCTATCAAGCAATATGAACTACAATTGCCAAATCACTCAGCTAGGCATATGAATCAACTTTTATTAACAAAATATATGGGAGAATGTAGTCTCAGGTAACAGTGGCATTTCAAGTTAGTGGGATAAGGATACAGTATTCAATCAGTGGTGTGAAACAATTTGCTCTCCATTTAGGAAGACCTCACAGGAGACCCAAAACCAAATTCCAAGTGTATGAAAGATTTAAACATTGAAACAAACAGGCAAAATAACTGGAGAAAAATCAAGGAATATTTTTAAACCCAAATGTTTTGCCTAACACGAAACTGAAGTCCCAAGTTTGATATTTTTAAGTAGAAAAGAAACAAAAACGTCTGTAAAAGAATAACATCTAAAAGAAAAAAGGGAATCAAATGGTAAACTCAAAAAAGTATTTGAAATACATGATAGTCATAGGAAACTTTTAAAATTTTTATTAGTACACATTTGCAGTACACAGTGATTACATTCATAGTGAGGAGTTGGAGCAAGTATATCATACTTTAATTCTTATTACTTCTTCTCCTCCCCACCCTCCCCTGCCCTCTATCTCTACATCCCTTTCCCATTTGCAAAAGAGCTATCTCCTCAATTCCTATTCTCCATCGTTTACTTTGCACTTTAAATTATTTATGCTTTGAGTTTCTTATATAAGAGAAATCATGGGATATTTAAGCTTGCGTGTCTGATTTATTTCACTTAACATTCCAGTCTCAAGGTGCACCCATATTCCAACATATTATTTTTTCAAAACAAAAGTTAAAAAGCAGATTTCAGGGGCCTGGAGTATAAGTCAGTGGTAAAGCTCTTACATGCATGAGGCCCTGGTTCAGTCTCCAACACTGAAAAAAACAAAAGCAAATTTCACAAAAAATGTGTATGTATTCATTAATGTTAAATACTATATATAAACACATTTTTAAAAAGCATACCTGCAAGTTAGATTATTGGCAGTGGTTATTTCTAAGAAATGATAAAAATAGAGAGGATCTGACCTTTGCTGGAATCTCTACATGCTGGAGCGGGGCAGAGACAGAGGAAGCACTGTGATTAGCCATGTAAGTCCCCGGGGAGATGGGGCTTGATGGAGTGTAATGAGAAGACACCTAGGACACGGGACCTGAGGGTTTGTTTCCCTGTGAGGTAAGGTCCAAGAGCTGCTCCCCACATGATGGCAGTGACACAGCATGACAGGAGAGGTGGCAGTATAGCATGAGGCTCCCACAGCCTCAGAATGGCCTATGGAGCAGCAGAAAGTATTTCTTTTCCCAAACTACAAAACTGGCTGAGAGAGAACTACAGCATCCATGAGGGCCCTGGTGTGTCAGGTGGAGGGCATGAGCTAATGGTCAGAGCAGGCAGAAAACAGCAGCAGATGCCACCTTACAAAGACGATGATCACAATTCAGCACACACACACACACACACACACACACACACACACACGCGCGCGCGCGCGCACACGGAGATAGATGCCATCCTGTGGTGAAAGAAGAGAGCAGAGAAAATCTGAGTTGACCTTAGAAAACCCGATAGGGACCAGAGGACACCACACCCATCTGGTAGAATACAGCATACAGGAAAATAAAGCACAATGGGATGGGACAATGTACAACTGCAGGAGAGAATTAAAGGTTTAAAAAGCTGAGCAGGGAGAAGAAAAAGGGCTCAAAGGAAAGATAAAGTTGTACTGACCTTCACTGTAGGCTGGAATATATGGATTGTGCAAAATGAACCCAATACACCTGTTTCATAAGACTGTTTTAATACAATAAGGTGACACTGAAATAGGTCAGGTCCGTATACACCTCTCCAACGATGAGATGTTTAATATATAATTGTAATTAATGTTAATTTTTTTAAAAATTTTACGATAGCTCATGACTTCTTTACTCGTCACTTTCAGCTCCCCTGTTTACTAAACGGAAAAGCATTGCAATGTGGCCAAGTTTATTGAGCTTAGTTTTATTGTAAACATGAATATTACCAAAGCATCACATCAGAAGTAATATATTTTCCCACACAGAAGTAACGTGACCAAGGCCTTGTAATCCAGTCACCTTACCCGTTACCCAGCCAGCACTCCTAAACTGGTAAGATACTGAATCAAGATTGGCTCTCTATAACAGGATACATGATTCAACACGGCATTTTTTTTCAGGAGCTACAGTCTATATCCGTTTTGCAAGCCAATTTAACTGAATTGAGTAAACTGAATTGATAATGTGCTTTTAATTCCTGCCAGGACAAACTGTCTTTCCTTTAAGGAGATACCGTTGGGAGCAAGAAACTAATTCTTTACGTACTCATCACAATCAGGATTGCAATAGCACATCTACCATATGCTAGTACTTTACATAGTTACTTCATTTAAACTTGACAAGGGTTCCCATTTTATTGATAAGGAAACTGAGTCTGAGAAACGCTGAGCTGCAGAAAAGCACAGAGCAAACGCCAATGTCCTACGCTGAGCTCAAAGGCCGCCCTTTTTCCACTGTGCCACAATACCTTGCTATCGAAAATACACAAGCTGCCTTGGGTTCGTGCTTTTGCAAACTCGTCCAGGCATCCAAGATGCCATTCTACCACTGCCGCCCTCTTCCCCTCCCCTCTCTCCCACACATCTTTGCTCTGCCACCCGCCTCACTCCCATTCCCCAACCCCAGGGTCCCTCAAGGCTTTATAGATGCTGTTTCCCCTGCCTGCGCTCGCCCCTTCCTCGCCTCCCACCGAGCGCCCATCCCTGGGGGGTCGCTGACTGCGCCGCTCTCCCAGGGACAATCCGCAGGCGCCCACAGCCGCGCTCCGGTCCACGCGTCCCGCCGCGCACGCACGCAGCGCACGCACCCACCCGCGGCGGGGACCACCACCGGGACAGGCGCCGCTCAAGGGCAGGGCCTTCACCTTTGCACACCCAGGAGCCCAAGGCTCTGCACATAGTAAAGTTCGGCCAAAGCTTGAGTGAGTGAATGAATTAATTTCACTTTACGCCAACGTGTGCGTTTTACGTGCCCTAGACCGTGAACAAACCAAAAGTAGGTCACCCCTGGGAAGGGAAAGCGCTCTTCAGTAAGTTTAAGGATCTGATTCACAGGCGGGTGGCCCCGCCCCCTGCTGCCAATCAACCGCTCCTCGCGCCTGCGCAAGGGCCGCCTCCGCCCGGAGCCCCGCCCCGAGATTGAGGCGGGCGGTTAGAACCGGCGGGATCCTTTCCTTCACTGGTCACGCCCGCTATGACGATCACCTACAGCTGCATTGCTAATGGCCGAGCGGTCCTAGCGGAGCTGGCCCTGACCGGCGGCTCCTATCAGGTACCTGCGGGCCCGCGCCGGCGCCTCCGAGGGCTGCGTTCCTCGAGACTGGCGCCCGCCCAGCGTTTTCTTCAGGACGCCGTTGCCGCTGAGCGGCGGGAACCAGCTCTATGAGAACAGGCCTCGCCCTGCAAGATGCCCCGCCCATCCCGCGTGAGGCCCCGCCCTACCCCGCGAGAGGCCCCGCCCTACCCTTGGAGAAGCCAGGTTTCATCCCGCTAGAGGTCGCGCCCCATCCCGCGATAGGTCGTGACTCCCAGGCAGGAGTTTTGCGTGAGCCTCTAGGGGTTAGGTCTGGTACTGCAATGAACCCCGTTTGACAGAGATTGGTACTGACGTCCAACGCCGTGGACTCTTAAGATTCTCTCGCCTGAGGAGTAATGCCCTGCAGTTCAGCACACATGTAGCTAGCATATCGTAGTTGCAGAATCCCAAAGAATGTGAAGGATCCAGCAGTGAAGATGGGCCTGACGTTGTCTCTGGAACTCCTTATCCCGTTGTGTCCAGACGTTGTTCTAGAGTGGACAAAGCCTATCAGTGCAGGTCGGCTCAGGTAGTACTTGGGAAGGAGGGCGGCTCCCTGCCGGTTACAGTGGAGGTGGTCAGACCACAAATTAGAGTGCCTGACTAATAAGAAAGAATTAGGCCCAGCCTGGCAGGAGGAAGGGGAATGAGAACTGTGCGGAGGGAACAGCATGGTGTGTTTGGGAATCCCTAAGAACTCAGGGTGGCCGGAGCACAGGGCCACAGCATGTAGGGCCCAGAGACGAGGCCAGAAAAATGGGCAGAGGATGATTAATATTTGCCAGTCCATTCATGCTGTGTTCCTTGGGGTCCTAATTGCAGTCTTGTTTGAACTAAACACACTCATTCATACCGATGATACCTTTCGTGTGGTCACTGCCAAATCCACTTCCAAAGTTAGCTCTCTAGAGTTGGACTGCCTAGTGGAGAAAGTTCAAACATACGTCTAGAAATAAATTATCTTTAAGAGATTCCCTTTTGCATGTTTCAGATCTTGTTGAGTAGCCTACTGAGTCATTCAAGTTGGAACCTGGGAATCATCTTTAAGTTTTCTTTCTTCACTTTCACATCTGTGTTATTTCATTGCCCAGTTCTGTCAATTCTGTCTCCTGGGAACACCTTGAATCCATCTTTTATTCTAAACCGTGGCTCCACTTGGGGGCAGTATAACATCTTCCATGGTTTGAGACCTCATTTCCTCCTGGAAGCATTCTCTATGTCCAGGCTAATTGCCCCACCACCACCACCAGTCCCCCCGCCCCCCGCCCCCGCCGCCTTTACTAAACTACCTACCAGTCTGAATTGGAATCTTTTACTTATTTTGTCTGCCACTGAACTTCCAAGACAGGGACTATCTTCCCAGCCCACAATGCTTAATAATGGTAGGTTCTCAACAAACGTTTAGTAAGGATGGAGAAATGAAGTTGAAGACTCTCAGAAGCCAAGAGGCCTCTCTGTGAAGCACACTGGAGTCGAAGAAGTTGGAAGGCATGGGGCAGTCCACGATTAAAGGTGTAGAATGTCTGCTGTGCAGAAAGCAAACCAGGAAGGAGAAAAACAGTTAAATTTGAAAGGAAAGAGAGTTCTATACCATGGCTTTCCTCAATGCCAAGGACCATCACAAAAATTTTATATGGGTTTGAAGAACATTAGTACCAAACATGATTAACATAGTGTCCAGTCACCACTGTTACAGTGTCCTGTAGCTGGACAGGTCATCTGCCTGAGGCAAGATATTAGGGCACAGCAAACTGGATGTGCAAGCAGGACACTTGCACAGAACACCCTCTGAACCTTGCACTTGATACCAATCAGAGAATGCTAAGTTCAGTTCTTCTGGCATAAGATCAAGCAGATTTTTGGTAGGATGGCCTAGACCTGATATCAGAATTGGAGTATAAAAGATGGTAGTCATTAAGAGTGTGGCCCTTATGAGACTTTTCACCAGCCTGCCCTGAACTCTGCTGGGTGTATTTCTTTTCCTACTTTAACTGGGCTGTGCTCACTCTGCAGAGCACATTTTTTTCCTTCTGTTCTTACCTTTAATAAGCCTCTGTGTTTTTGCTTGCCTTGTCCAGTTGTTCAAACAGGATAACAAAAGCATGGAAGGGACCCCTTGCTACTCCAGTACCCAGTAATACCCACTATCTTTCTCCACCCCACAAGGAAGCAAGCCAGACAAGTCACTGGGTCTGGAGCACATGAATTCCAAAAACTCAATTAGAGCCCACTTTATCTTGTATTTTACTGTATTTTTATATTGTGATTTGTTCTGTTTCAACAATATCTAATTGTTTATATTCTCTGAGACACTTGGGACAAGCTAGGGCCTGGGTATAGTCCCATACTGATAATAGAGTAACAAAAAACTTATTTAAGTTTCAAGTTTCTTAGAAAATCTTTTCCTAGAAAATCCCATCTTGCTGGCATGGTGGCACACGCCTGTAATGCCAGCACTTGGGAAGCTGAGGCAGGAGGATCACTATGAGTTTGAGGCCAGCCTGTGCTACATAATGAGACTCTGTCTCAGAAAAAAAAAGAGAAAGAAAACAAAAGAAAAAATTCCATCTTTTTAGACAATACCTAGAGTTTCAGATTTTACTTTCTACCACTGATAAGCTTTACCCTTTCATAAAAGTTTCTAATTTAAGTGGCATTTCATGAAAATGGAAACATTAATGAGAAGTGTGACTGTTCAAGAATTCTTAGGTAACTTTCAAAATCCTCTCATGCTTCTAAAGTAAATCAGTAGGATTCCACACAATGCACTATATTTAAGTTATTCTGGATACTTTAGGCTCTTACAAATTTTTTTCAAAGAATAAGAGTTCTTGGCAATTGCTTTTTTTTTTAAAAGAGGTAGGTGAACAATAGTGAATAAATATTTTTATCTTTTAAAAGACTGCAAAGAGTTGCTAAATTCAAAGAATAAGAGCGGAATATCTTTAATTTATCAACATCTTACTTATAGTCTCAGTAGCTGCTTCTCAGTCTTGAAGTCAGTTGTGGCTTGTATCTACATGTCCCACTGAAACCTCATGCACTCATAGGTGGGGCTTTTCAGAGCTGACTGGACCTGGAGCATGTGATACTGGGATTAAGGGTGTATAGTACTAAATTAGTGCTAATTCAAATTAGCATAGTTCTGGGTGTGGGTGGCACCAATCTATAGGCCTAGAGCCGGAATAGAACATAAAGGGAGAGAGGGAAGACAGACTTGCTGCTTGTTGTTGCTTGCTGCTTTCTTCTTTGCCATGGCTTATTTCTCCTCCATGATGCCCCTCTGCTGTGCCATCCTTCCTTCGAGCCAGCTGATTATGGACTGAAACCTCTACAACTGTAAGCTGAAATAAACCTTTCCTCTTTCAACTTGTGGGAGTGAAGTAGTTTCTCTCAACAGTAAGAAAAGTAATAACTAAGACAGATTTTGGTACCAGGAGTATGGTCGCTGTTATGATGTTACCTGGAAATGTGGTTCAGGAGCCTTTGAAACTAGCTTGTGGGAAGAGCTTAGAAAGGTTTTGATATGCCAGCTGAAAAGGCAGCCCAGAATGCTGTAAGTTGAACTTGATGGGAAATTCTGGTCAGAGCTCAGAAGACAAGAATGTTGATAAAAATGCTGCCAGTAAATACCAGGCTCAGGAGGTTTTAGTTAGGAAGAAGAACTGCATTGGCTGTTGGACTCCAGACCATGTATAGGTTATACTTTGGCAGAAAATTTGTCTGTACTTTGTTTTGTCCACAGACTTTGCCTGAGACTGAGAATAAGAGCAGTGGATTAATTAATCTGGTGGAAGATATTTCAAGGCAGTCTAATGTTGAGGCAGTAGAATGGCTACTCTTCGGGTCTTTTAGCCAGATCTATGTTGAGAATCAAGGGCAAGGAGCCTAGCAGAATGATTTAAAACATTGTGAGTTTGGCCAGAAAGGAAATTCTAGTAAAGTTGTAGATTTCACAGGTGGAGCAGAGGAGAACTTTCTTGCTGAAAAGGAACATGACAATAGAAAAGATGGCCTGAGGATATCACAAGAACCAGCAGAGCTCCACCCTTTGCAGCCTCAAAATTCCAAAGATGAAAGACTGCTTTGAAAAGACAGCCCCAGAGCACCATGTTTCAGAATGGTAGAAGCCTAGAGAATTTGTTCCTCAGGATTGGGTTCACAGTTCTCAGCAATCTAGGATCTTGACCCCTACAACCAAGACAGAGAGAAGCCTGGCTACTGTTCCAGCTGGCAGCAGACCTTGGCATCATCCACATAGTGCTGGTTTTAGGTGCATGCCGAATGCAAGAGTTACAAGGTTCAGGAAGGCTCCCATCCAGATTTCAGAAGAAAGCCTGAGAGGCCAGGCAGTGTGCCCTTAAGAGGGCAGTATGTGAGGCTGTGCGTGTAAAGTCAAAAGTGCAGTGGAGACCCACAGAAGGTTGGGGAAACCAGGAATGTAGATCATCTGAAGAAAACTGCAAGGAGCAAGCAAATCTGGCCCAAGAGAGAAGCCATGAGAGCTGCAGCCACCCTCAGTACCGTAGAAGTGGAGCAACCGAAGCCCTTTGGAGCTCACATCTTGCCACAAATCACCCTGAATGCTGGACTTGGGACTATGGAACTCTATGTTTGACCTACTGGATTTGGGTCTTGCTTGAGTCCTTTCCTTTCTATCACCCTATTTGTACCTTTTGGAACAGTAATGTTTATCTTGTGCCACTGGATGTTGGAAGTATCTAACTTTCTTTGCATTTGTATAGGAGCTCACAGCTAAGAGTTTGCCCTTAATCTCAGAAGAGACTTTGGATTTAGACTTTTCAGCAGTGCTGAAACTATTAAGACTTTGGAAACTCTTAGAGATGGACTAAATGCCTTTTGCACAAAGGGATGTGCATGAGTCTTTGGGGAGGCCAGGGGTGAATGTTATGACTTGTATCTAGATGTTCCCCCAAAGTGTCACATGCTCATGGGCAGGGGGAGCTTTTTGGAACTGGCTTGATCAAGAGCATGTGATACTGGGATTAAGAGAGTGTGGTACTAAATTAGTCCATTGATTTGAATTAGCATAGTTCTGGATGTAGAAAATGGAAGTCCTACCCTGGGTGTGGGTGGAACCAATCAATAGGCTTACAGCTTGGGTGGAATACAAAGGGAGAGAAAAGGCAGGCTTGCTGCTTGTTATTGCTTGCTGTTTCCTACTTCGCCATGAGTAGTTTCTTCATGGATAGTTTCTCCTCTGCAATGCTCTTCTGCAGTCCCACCCTTCCTTGGAGCCAGCCAACTGTGGACTAACACCTCTACAAACTGTAAACTGAAATAAACCTTTCCTCCTTTAACTTGTAGGGATGAGCTAGTTTATCTCAGCAATGATAAAGGTAACTAAGACAAAGTCCCATATAATATGACTATAAAAATAAGATCTAGTTTAGCCTGTATTTGTACACTTCTTATGGGTATTCATAAAGAATATATATTTATATGATCTTAATACTTTCCTCCAAACTCATATGAATACTTTATGACTCCTCTCTCTTACCATACATTATGAATCATACCCATTAATTCTCTTAGGAAAAAGTTTTTCTTTAATTAATTAGAACAGTGGTAAATTTAGGAAATAATGAAAGATACTATTAATCTTCTATAGAGTAAATATTGGTTGTTTATTTTTAGGAAGCAGCAGCAAAAGTGCTTAGCCAAGTGCTTCTTAGAGCCAAACCAATGACTACAACGCAAATGGGAAGGTATGTTCTAATACGAGTCAACTTTTTCAGTTACTAGCTAATAATTCCAATGTTAAGAAAACACTACTTGTACATACTCTTGATTAAGCCCACAGAAAAGAGAACCTCTATATGTAAAAGTATAAAATCATGGATGGGAATGATAAACACCTCATTCAAGGTAGGGGTCATAAAGAGAAGGGAGAAGAGTGAAGCTGAGGAAGGAGACATCGGGGATGTTAGTTGCATCTCTAACACTGTAACTAGACGAAGAGTCTAAAAGTGTTCTGTTATCTTTTCTCCATATTTTCTTGGTATACCCAAGCATTTCATTAATAAAAAAGGAAACTTCCACTTTAAAAATATCTTTAATATCACCAAGGATAATAGCAGTCACTCTTATGTTTTACTTGGGATATCACATGCTATAGTCTAATTCTGAAAATACTTGCTAGTAAAGAAATTGGTGAGAGAAAGGAGAGCTTCTGTTATTTTTGGACCCTATTTTTTTTTTAAGAGTAGGTTTGTCTTAACCATTTTGTATAAAGTAAAACACAGTTACAAAAACCACATCAAAGCTGGTGCAGTGGTGTATGCTTGTGGTCTCAACTACTAGGGAAGCTGAGGCAGGAGGATCACATGAGCCTAAGAGTTCCAGGTCAACCCCAGCTTCATTCTGCCTGCTTCATTCTCCCACAGTGCTGAGACTAAGTTTCTTCAAATATACATATCCTCTCTATCCATTTCCATTTCTTATAGTTTATTGTTGAGGAACACACAGAGTTTCCCACAGTATACAAGTAAGGTTGCTGATTGCATCTCAAAATGCAGCTCAACATGTGGCTTGATCCAGAGGTTCAATCCCCTTGACAAAACTGTGTTTTTCCATGAGATGGTACTTGTGATCTTACATCTTCTGAGATGTCAGTAGCCATCCATACTCATTGCTAGGCCCTAAGACTGTTAATTTATTGGGAATTACAAATGGTGCTAATCAGTTTTGTCTTCAGTGCAATAATTAGCTGAAATGATTTGCAAACCAGACACTTTCCTCATTTACTATTTGCTTACCTATATTGTACCTTCAGATCTGAACCTTTCTTGAAGACCCCTTCCCTGAACTCAAGACTCATATTCCAACTTCCTGTTCCATAGCCCTGCTTGGGTGCCTAAAGAGTACTTCCAACTATGTCCAAAGCAAAGACTCCTCTTGCAGTCTTCCACACTTCCCCTTTTCAGTTCCCCAACTTTTGTTATCCTTGCATTTTTGTGTCCAAACCCAATCCATCAGCAAATCCTGTTGCCTTTCCCTTCTAAATAGTAACCAAGCCACGGTCATCCCTCCCTAGGTTACTCAATGCAAAATCATTTTTCTCATTTTGTTTTTGATTACTCTTTCAAAAAAGGTGCACTTAATAACATTTTCCAATTATGTAAAACACAATATGCTTCCAAAATCAAATTTACAAAACAAAGTTTCTTCAAGATGTGTAATTTTCATTCTTTTTCACTCCACATTACTCACTCATGCATATATAGATAACCATTTTCTACAAGTTTCTGGATTGTAATTTTCTTTTTCTTTTTTTCCTACAAGCAACACTTTCTATAAAAATACATTATAGAATACACGTATACATTCATATTTCCTATATAGCAACATACAGGATAAATGGCGGTAGTATATTATACACTTTTCTCCACCTTCCTTTTGTTAGTTAATGATATATCCTGAACATCAGATATTCACATTGTAACTTTAAAAATAGTTTCTACCTGGGCCTGTAATCTCAGCATTCAGGAGGCTGAGGCAGAAGGATCACCACAGTTCAAGACCAGCCTGGGCTACCTAGTGAGTTCAAGGCCAGACTGAACTATAGAGAGACCCTGTCTCAAAAAAAGCAGAAAAAAAAAAGCTTCTGAATGTTACTAATAACATACTAAGCACAAATTTAAAATATTTCTCCTTTTCATTTTGAGTATCAACTTACCTTCAATTAGATGTAACTTTCAGGTAGATGGTAGAATCAGCAACTGTTTGTCCAGCAGCCTTCCAAATTTATAAATGAAACTATTTCCCAAATGAAGATTATGTATACTAGTCAACATCATCATTAAAATGTGTTTAGCATATTGTATTCAGGATATGATATGAAGATTTATTTGAAATAGCACATACTTTAAATTTCCTGCCTCTAAAATTATCTGTCTGTTCCTGAGATTCCTCATTCTTATACATATCCAGTTTAACATTTGACCAGGACTGTTGCCTGCTAACCATTCAGGGAGACTAGGTTCATGTATAGGCACTGAGCAGTGAAGGATGGGGGCCCTTCGGAGAAGCAGAAAAGATCTAGCAGTTGGAGTGGCCAGGGAAAGGCACATTTTAGCTTACTAGGAGTTTAACTCCCCTCTCCCAACTCACCAAGTTCTCCAGAATATTTGATAGTGACAATTTACAACTTTTAAATTCTCATCTATTGAAATAAAAAGCCAAGAAGTATCAAAGTTAAGTGTCTACCTAAAAATTTAAGGATAGTAAAAGTCACTAAACATAGCATTTTCTGCTTAATCAAAGTCTTGATTCAGTCTTAGAATTTGATTTTTGTCCAAACTATTTCAAACAAATATTCTGGGCATAGTGGCACATACCTGTAATCCCAGCACTCAGAAGGCTAAGGCAGGAGAATCCCTACAAGTTTGAGGCCAAGCTAAAACACATAAGGAGACTCTGCCTCAAGAAACCAAATGAACAAAACAAACAACAAATAAAAAATAAATAAATGTATTTATGGTTCCAAATTTTTATGTATTTTGTTTATTGGTGCAATTTTAAATATATATTCAAATTGTATACATTTTTATTTAATATAATTTAATTTGTCAAGTAGATAAATCTCTTCTAATTATTCTGATTATAAAGTTATTTCTATAGTTTTTAAAGCAGTAATGACAGCTCAAAAATCAAATCAAACTTTGGTGTGGATACTTAATTTCTTCAATATTTGTAAATATTAAATGCATTTTTTTCAAAGCTATGTCTACCATACTCTCCTTACTGATGGAATCACTTACTTATGTGCTACAGACAATGCCTTGGATACGGGGGCACCATCTGCATTTCTTAGAGAAGTAAGTGATCTTTTATATGACTGTAAAGACTTGTCAGCTAAGGCAGATATGAGGTCTCTGGTTTCTTGTACACTGGTAACAATGTCACTAACCCAAAGCAGCTATTTACCCCTGTTCATGTGCATAGCCAGCAATGACCTTGGGAGGTTTCTTAATCTCACCCCTCACCCCTCTCCTGCTCCAACTCTCTCCCTGACTCAAAGCAAGTTCTGCAAAGACTATTCACTCAGATGCATTAGAGCCTTTCCTTATATTTATTTTGTTTTTAAAATTAAGAAATAAATTAAGCTACCCTAATATTAAGTAAACTTTTTCAATAACACACGTCTTACTTTGCAAGTATTATATATAAGGAGCAATAGTAACAAAAATTTTTGAAACCAGTATTCTAAATTAATTATAAGAAGTAAGTAAAAAGAAATACTTTTAAAGCAAGACAAATTATGTCTAGGAAAAGTTTTAACTGAGAATTGCAGCAAATATAAACTATGGTAAATACAAGTAATCTGGTAAATTTTTAAGGGTAATGAAGCTCAACAGATAGTACCTGTTATTCCTATTGCCCCAAGTTTAATCTCCAACCAGCAGGAGACTCCATGAAAGGTAGTCTAGAGACAGACAAGAGATAAACCATTATTCTGGTGATTTCTTTTTTTTTTTTTTTTTTTTTTTTGGTTTTTCTCCGGTATCAGGAACCGAACTCATGACCTTGCGCTTGCCAGGCAGGTGCTTTGCCACTGAGCTAAATCCCCAGCCCCCTATTCTGGTGATTTCTGTGTTAGTTTCTTATATTTAACAGTAAGTGACACCAATCTTCTGTTTTACTTGCAAATATATAATTCAGGATAAATACTTTAATAAAAAATAGTAATAAAAGCCCAGATATACTGTCATCACTAATAATTACTCTTCCATCAAATCATGAATCACATACATATTCTCTCTTCAGTGCACTAACTTGTGAGACACAGTTCAAATTGTACCCATTTATGGATGGGGCCCAAGATGACCAGGCCTAAATGTTGTAATTCACTCTTCAGTTACACCTAGACCAATTTCTGGAGTCCAGATGCCAAACAGCCCCTTAACTGAATATCTCCTCATTTGTTTTCTCTCTGCCCATTACAACAAAACATCCCAACTTTACCACCACCTGTCCAGGTGACACAAAATTGCTAACCACATAGTATTTACCACTGCTTTTAAGAAATACTACATTAAGTACAGACAGTTCAGAATTCTGTTCTGAGATTTTGAAATGTCCCATAACTAGAGTTTGATAGAAAGTCCTGGCATTTGGTTAGCATTATTGTGTTACTGTCCAGTAGATTTTGAAGCTAGGGGCAAGAGGGAGACACAACACTATTTAGAAAAGGTCATGGGCTATGGGAAATACCTGCTCCTCCCCTCCAGTCCTTGGCTCTACCAAATAAAGGCAGGGCTTGCAGGTATACCACGTTTCTGTCCTGTATAGCAGCAGAGAGTGGGTCAGTTTGGGGCAGTTTTCATGAATACTACATCTTAATGTAAAAGGACGTCCTGTCACCAAAAAGCCAGGAATGTTATAATTTCTTTTTTTCAAGCTTCTGCCAGACTTTGCTGCAAATGAATACAGGTTCTGTAATTCTCCAGTTGAAATTATCTATACAGGTTATGCCTTTCCATTCATTTCTCCAGGTTAGTGATACTTTTACAAGAAATCCTTTGATGTCACAAGAGCATTTTTCTCCTTCAAATGCAGTTGCCGCAGACTTTCAAGAAGTATTAGGACAGTATATGGTATGTACCTCAAACTGGAGACCTAAATATTATCACTGTTATGCTTATTTCAGTGGCACATGTACGAAAATTGGAAAAAAAAATAGAGAAAAAAAAATATTATCAGGGTTACAGCTGACAAACCCGTTATAAGTTAAGAGCTGTAAAGGAGAATGAATGCTATCTCTATATAAAGTTAAAGAGTGATGTCCATGATATAGTGCTAAAGCAAGGGCAAGGTTGTAGGGTATACTTCTGTTTATTTACCATTCTTAAATGCCATTTAAGAAAGGGAATAAATACAAATGTAGTAGATGTCTGCTTGTGTATTGTTTAAAAATAAAAGGGAAGGGGAAGAAAAAGCTAAAAATAAATACATGATTAGCTGTGTGGGGATGGGGAGAAAAAGAAAGGAGAGCGACAGGAATAAAACTAAGCAGCTTTGGGGAAACTTCTATTGCAAATTTGACTGTGGAGCCCTGTAAAGGCTTTATATAATTATAAAATATGATTAAAATTTTAAAATTTGTCCCTACTAAGTAAGATAAGAGGTCACTAGAGGACAAATACTGTAGGATTCCACTTTGACTACCACAAGTAGATAGGAAATTGAACAGTGGTTGGGAAGAGGGCTGAGATGGCAGTTAGTGCTTGCTGTGCAGAGAGGTTCCATTTGGGAAGCTAAAGAAGTTCTAGAGGTGGATGGTGGTGACAACTGCATAACAGTATAAATGTATTAATGCCACTGACCTATGCACTTTAAAATTGTTAAATTGAGCTGGGTGTGGTAGCACCTGCCTGTAGTCCCAGTACTCAGGAGGCTGAAGCAGGAAGATTGCTGCAAGTGCAAGTCCAAGCTGAACTACATATTGAGACCCTGTCTCCAAAAAAAGAAATTATGAAATTGATACATTTTATGAATGCATATGTATTTATCATAAAATTTTTAATTTTTAAAGTAATCCCTAAAACACAAAAGGAAAATGAAAGAAAAACAAAAAGAACTTAACTATACATTAAGTTAAAAATTTATAAGACTGCACACATTTATTTTAAGTGATACTATCAAACAATTCTTTCGGTCTGTTTTCTAGTGAGGCTAGGACCCAATGAGAAGCAAGAACTAAAAATAAATCTTAAAGCATCTTTTTTAAAGAGTTACATTATTGGTATTAATACTGCTATTACTATTCTGAAATTGGCTTATGTAAATATAGATACATATTTGAATAATTAAAGTAAGAATCAAGATTCTCAGCAAGAGCAGTTACAAATATAAAAATCAGAAAAGAAGGAAAAACTGGAAACAAAGCTTTTATAAATAAGGAAGGGAAGAGGGGTTAAAGGGAAGGTAGAGAAATGGGAAAAAGAACCAAGTTATATCATGTACAGGCACAAATTCTCTATAATGAATGTGATCATTATGTATATCCAGAATGTACCAATAAGCTTAATTAATATTTTAAAAAGTCAAGTAAACATTTCTAATCCCAAATTTCCCCCAAAATTTTTTAGTTTCTTGTTTAGCCACTGAAAAAGCCTAAAAACCAACCCAATCTAAGCCTCAATCATTGTTTCTAAATATCATCTTCGATTCAGAGAAATCTGGCCTGAGTCCAGCTACAAGACAGAAAATATGTAAGCCAGAAACTTTGTCATGTCTAAAACAAGGGAGCTACCACAGTGAGCGAGCTCAGGTAACAAGCGCCAGTAATAGAATAATCTGAGCACCCAAAGCAACACTGAAGACGGGGTGTTGTAGCCCACACCTGTAATCCCAGATACTCAAGAGGCTGAGTTAGGAGGGTTTTTTTTGTTGTTGTTGTTGTTGTTTTTGGTAGGAGGGTTTCAAGTTTGACACCAGCCTGGGCTACTTAGCAAGACCTTGAGTCGAAACTAACATTTATCAGGACTTAGGGATGTAGTTCAGTGCTTCTTGTGTTCAAGTGCCCAACACACATGCGCACACAAACACACACACACACACACACACACATACCCTCAATGTAGTTGGGTGTAACACAAAAATGTGTTACATTTTTTGTAACACCAAATGTGTTAAACTCCATGAATTCCTAGACACTAACACAGGGGAAATATCCCTCATCAGTCAACTTTGGAGGATACTACTTGCCGACTCTGTGCCTCAAAGGAACAACATAGTTAAGGGGGGAAGTTGTGTTGCTCTGTCAAAGAATGTCAGCCAATAAATGATAAAGTGATAAAATACTGCCATTCTAAATCCCTAATGAAATAATGGGCCTAGACAATTATCATCAGTAACTGACTAAAAATGAAATGAAACACTGATGAGGAACTGCATAATGAGTGAAACAGGCTCAAAACCCTTAAAGCCACTGATTTTTTTCCTAACCTCAAATTAAAAGGCAATCAGAAAATGTGTAGAACAGCACACATCTGAAATATTCTTTTCTCAAAACATCAAACCTGGATCTGACCAACCCTTTATCTCTAACTCCAGTTAGAGGAAATAGAGAGATCAGTGATCACAATTAAAGGATAATGAAATAATATAATTAGCAAATGCCAAAATAGGAAACTCTATGACTAATTTAAAAGAGACATAAAAGAGATCAATCAAATGTAATATTTCATTTTGATTGTTTTGTTTTGTCTTGTTTTGTTTTTATGGTGCTGCTGGGAATTGAACTCAGGGCCTTCATCCTGCTACATCCCCAGCCTTTCTTCATTTTTGGGACAGAGTCTCACTAAGTTGCTAAACTGCCCAGGCTGGGATCAAACTTTCCATTTTCCTGCCTCAGGTTCCAGAGTGCTGGAATTACTGAGATGAGCCACCATGCCCAATAGTATGTGAATTTTGGATCCTGGTTTAACAAAAGGACTATTAAGGAACTTTGACTTTTGTGGGGTTTGTTTTTTGTTTTTGTTTTGGCAGTACTGGAGATTAAATCCAGGGCCTTCACACTGAACTGCATCACTAACCCTTTTCTTATTTTTTATTTCAAGACAGGGTCTCACTAAATTGCTAAGTTGCCCAGACTGGGCTCAAATTTGTGATTCTCCTGCCTTGGCCTCCCAGGAGTGCTGGGTTACAGGTGTAAATCTACACACCTGGCTGCAGTGACTTGTTTTAGATAAATTTGGGCACAAACTGTATTTTCTATATTAAGAACTTTTTTGGGAGGTGATAATGCTGTGGTTTTGGTTTTTTTTTTTTTTTTTATGTGGCCGTATCTTTTAGAGATACAAAACTAAGCATTTACAGATTAAAATGCTAGAATCTGGTGTTTGCTTGGGGAAGGGGAAGTGCTACAGATGAAACACAATTGGTCATGTGTGGAGAATTGCTGACACTAGTGATGGGTACCAGAGGGCTCACTCTACTTTTGTATGTCTGAACTCCTTCCTAATAAAAATATTTTCAGCAGACCAAGAAACCCCATGTCTCTCTCTCAGCTCTGTGGCATGGGAGTCCAGGCTTGGCTGCGTTCTTTGCTGAGGGTCTCTCCTTCAAGGCCCTCCAAGCTGTGTCCTCACTGGAAGCTCTGAAGAGGAATCGTCCCTGAGCTCCCCCAGTGTCAGAGTCTCTGTGTGAGGACACCACTTTGTGCTGGCTACAGCACAGGCAAAGTCAGAACCTGGAGACTGATGCCTGTTCCTTCGCATGAGGGCTCCCTCAGTGTGAGTGCTTGATTCTTCCAGACCAGTGGAGGACTTGCTCCCACTCCAGTCTACTGGGTTTTATACCTGTGTCAGAATCACAGCAGTGAAACACATCACCGTGCATCTGTTGATTAGGAGAAAGACTTGCTCAAGATGAGGGGACTAGACAGGGATGTGACTCGCTGGACACATGATGGCATGTGTCTACCACACAGCCTGAGAAAATAATTAAGGATAAGCCAGGCGTTGTGGCACACACGTGTAAGACCAGCCAGGAGGCAGGAGGATCGCCATGAGTTTGAGGCTAACCAGAGCTACATATTGAATTCAAGACCAACCTGAACTACGTAGCAAGACTGTCTTTAAGGAAAAAAAAAACTAGATTATTTCATATTAATTTCATACATTTTATTATGATAAATACCACATATTCAATAGAACAAAATATATTACTAGTTCAGCTCCTTGAAAACCAGTTACTGTGGGAAAATATACATATTTTTAGGCAACTGGCACATCTAAATCCAAGAAATAACTATTATACATTTATAAACTAACCTGGTAAGCTTTAAATCTATACAAAGTTTTATAAAGTTATTACATTTCTTGCCATTAACAAAATGCACTCAACCTCAAAAGACTAGCTTTTAAATTTTTAAAATATGTATACAGAAACCAGCATGATGGCACATACCTGCAATCTCTGCACTTGGGAGACTGAAGCAGGAGGATCACGGTGAGTTTGAGATCAGCCTGGGCTACATAGCAAGTTCAAGGGCAGCCTTAGCTACATAGTGAGACTCTGTCTCAAAGAAAAAAAATGTATAAACATAGTAAATGTCATTGAATGGACCTTTAATACTTTATCCTGACAAAAGTTAAATGATTCTTAGATTAAAAAGATTAACCCTTAGAAAACAGAAAAAGAAAATGAACAAAAATTAAAATCAAATATTAACTGTTCATCTAGATTTGATAACATTTGCAAAGACTATAGAGTCTGCCCAAAAAAATGTATATACACTTCAGGAAAAGAAAAATAGTATGATATTTTTTCAACATATGGTGTTTTTCTCATATGGGGGACCCTAGAGGATGTTGTATATCACAGAAAACTAACTACACTACTGGCCCTTAGAGAAAAAATTGAAAGTGCATGTGCAGCCATCTCAATGACCAAGGTTACCCAAGCAGCACTTTGCTGTACTAATAAATGTCTGGAAGTTAAAGGCCACCACTTTGAGCACCTCTTGTAATTGTAAAGGCCACAGGTAGCTTGTATTAATCTCATGATGTCTCAATAAATTTTATATTAAAATATTTTTACAAGTTTTTCTCTTCCTGAATGTGTATACATTTTTAGGGTAGACTCTGTATTTCCAAATAAAGTCACATTCACAGCCACACAGAGTTGGGACTTCAACATATCTTTTGGGGGACAGAATTCAACACGAAACACTCCCTTTTCTACATCTAAGTAGTGAGCCCTTTGCAGAATAGTAATCGTAAGTTTTATGGCCCGGTAACCAGCAAAGTCAGAGGGCTGTTTAAGATGGATTAGATCACTCCCCTAGAGCAGAGGGTTTTAATATCATTTTCTGTTGCAAAAGAAGTGCTCACTAATAATGTGAGGTAATCCTACAATATATTAAGGAAATATGAGTACCTCTTTATAATATGAGTCACAGTCCCCCAGGATTGAACCCACAGCCTCACACATATAAGGCAAGCACTCTACCACTCAACTACACCCCAGCCATGAGTATGAACCTTTGTTCTGCTTCTATCTGTGTAACCTTGAGCAAGCTATTAATTTCTCTCAATTTCAGTGTGTTTATTTAGAAAGTAAAAGATGACAAGAGTGCTACTTTATGCAACAGTTCAAGAATTAAATGAGTTAATATGCATAAAGTACCTCTTAAAAGTACCCAGGATATACTAAGTGTTCAATAAATTATATTATTCTGTAGCTTACTTTTTAAGGAAAGAATATATCATAGCAATCTTTTTTGTTAGTGTGTGTGCATTACCAATTTTGAACCACGGTATAGTACCATAATTTATTTAACCATTCCCATATGGATTGACATTGAAATTATATATAATTTTTCATTACTAAAATGACACAGTGAGCATATTTGTATGCACATTCGTGTGCAAATATATTCATACACACAGATATTTGCACAGAATGGCACATGTAAGCCAGGCATAGTGGCACATTCCTAAAATCCCAGCGCTCTGGGAGACTGAGGAAAGTTTGAGTCCAGCCTGGGCAACTGAGTAACTTATCAAGAACCTGTCACAAAATAAGAAATTTAAAAAAGAGCTGGGTGGGCTGGGGATATAGCTTAGCGGCATAAGCACCTGCCTGGCAAGCACAAGGTCACAAGTTAGATTCCCGCCACAAAAAAAAAAAAAAAAAAAAAAAAAAAAAAAGCTGGGAATGTAAGTCAGGGTGAGGGCCCTGGGTTTGAGCCCCAGGTCCAGAAAATAAAAAGAGAACGGTATGTATGCTTGTGTGGCAACAAAGGACTGGATGGGAAACCTGTGTGTTTTCTGCTCAGATTTACTGTGTACCCAAAACTAGTTTGAAAGGTAAAGTCTATTTTTAAAAATAAATAATCCAATTTTTTTAAACTCCTCCTGCTTACTGAATACCCATCTTTATGTAAGATTGAGATGGATAATTTGAATTTCAGTTGATTCCTCACACATGTGAGTTGACACTTTTGTTCTATTTGTATAATATAGTATAATAAATTCTATGTATAAAAAATTTGTATTATATTTTACTTCTATATAGATGAAATACAATAAAAATCAAGCTAACAGCGTGATTTCCACAAGGAGGAGTCAAGTGAATGATATAAAAAATGATATGATCCAAAATGTTGATATAATTTTGGAAAAAGAAGAAAGATTAAATATTTTCCTTGCTGGAACAGATGACCCCCCAACAGCTGTAAGTAATTTGTGTCTGTGTTGATGTCTCAACAGTGCTTCCAGTCATAAGACTGTGGCCTTGAGATAAACTGCAATAAGCAAAAATATAGTAGACTGCAGTGAGGTAATCCTATGCCACCAATCTGTGTTTTTATCAAAAAATATTTGGAATACACCTAAAATAGTATAAGAATAACTAAAAAAAGAATAACCATACAACTCTCCAAAAACAACTCACTATATTTGGAGGTAGTTATTTCAATAATAGAATAAGACCTTATATTAAGAAACTGACTTTTCAACAAATAAATTACAGGGGAATAAAAAGAAAAGTTACAGACAAATGGGCTTAAAAGATACATTAACTGCAATATGTGGTCATTATTTGGATTTTGGGTCAAACTCTAAAGATGATAATGTACAACTTTGTGAAACAATTAGATCTTTCAGTCTGGCTGAATAGTAGATGACATTCAGGAATGATTATCAATTTTAGGTATGCGATTGATATTGTGGTTATCTTTTCAGAGTGATTATTTATTACAGATTTAAACAAAATGTCTATGGTCCAGATTATGGCATGTCTGTCATCTATCTGCTTCAGAATAACTGAAGGGCAGGGGGAAAGTATGGGATTTAAATGAAATAAAATTGGCCATAAATTGACAGTTACTAGAACTGAATGTTGATTATATCATTCTATCAACTTTTGTATGTCTGAAATTCTCTTACTAGAAAGCTTGAAAACTAGTTTGGATAATTCCCTTACAGCATTTTAAGTTTTATTTGTCCATATCTTTTCTAGAAACACAGCCAATGTCGATTCTGTCTTCTAAATCTTTTGGTATCTTTACCTCAGTTTTTCACTTAATGTTTGTTTCTTAAAGTAGTACTTACATATATTCAGATTCACCCATTTTAAGAGTAGCATTTGATGAATGTGGTAATTTTATAGAGTATGTAACCACAATCAAGATATGAAGTCAGGCAGGGTGGTGCACACCTGTAATCCCAGCACTCAGGAAGCTGAGGCAGGAGGATCCTTACAAGTTCAAGACCAGTTTGGGCTACAGAGTGAGCTCAAGGACAGCCTGAACTGCATAGTGAGATCCTGTCTCAAAAAGACCAAAACAAACAAAAAAAAAGATATTAAAAAGTTCCTTCAGCTGGACATGGTGGGCACACCTGTAATCCCAGCACACAGGAGGCTGAGGCAGGAGGATCCTTGCAAGATCAAGGCCAGCCTGGGCTACAAAGTGAGCTCAAGGCCAGCTGAACTGTATAGCGAGACCCTGTCTCAAAAAGACAAAAGAAAAAAGTTCCTTCTTCCAAAATCTATTTCATGCCACAAACCCTGCCCCCAGCCAAGCACTAATCTGTCCTCTGTCACTATAGGTTTGCTTTTTCTAGAATATTATATAAATGGAATTATAAAGTACATTGTCTTTTGTGTTTGACTTCTTTCACTAATACAACACTTTTATATTCATGCACCTTGTTGTGTGTATTAACATTTCATCCCTTTTCATTGCTGAGTAGTGTTTGACAGACTGGCTAAATCAGTCTTTAATTTCTCTTCCGCCATCCCCATGCAACTCACTGTCTCAATCCAAGCTCTTTGTCTCTTGTCTGAGTGTGGTTAATACCCACATTTCAATGTTCTCCCTCTCTTTAGTGCCCCACTTCAGTCCCCCTCCATACTGATTCCAGAGTGAGTTCATGAAAGGCAAGTGTGAGTGTTATCCACAGCCATCTTGAAGTCCTTCATTCCCAGAGGGTAGAGTCCAACCTCTCGAACATACTGAGCTTTCTTCTGACTATATAGCCAGTTATATCAGTTAGAGATCATAATCATACTGTCTATAAATCTCAAAAAAATGCCCATTTTATTATAGTTCTCTGACTTACATGTCACATTACTTCATACCTTTACATGTGCTATTCCTACATTTTTTTTCCATGCCCTGGATAACTTATATGCATCCATCAGAATCCAGCTCAACTCTCCTCTCCTAATTGCCATACTGTTCAGCCAAACAATGAAGTACAAAGGATTCACAAAAACCACTCTGCAGTTACATTAGGAACTATGTATATTTAAATACTGTGTGTCTTGACATTGGGAATTGATAGGAAAGCACTCATAGG